ACACTAATGGTGCTAGAGTCTATACACGTCTATAAGTATTACACACACACACACACGTAAAGCACTCAAGTTTCTGAACGTGTTGTGGATGGTTTTCCAATTGCTTCTTCTGTACAGAGAGATTCAGAATGGCCAGCCAATTACTTTTATTATTTCTGCTACAGCAGAATATAACTAGCTTCAACTAAATTCAAAGCCTTTAAGAAGCAACTTCTGATAATACAATCATTCAGAAGACACAGTTGCTCTGAGACCATAATTTCCAATTCTTTAGCTAAGAAAAATCCAGTAGTGTTCAATTTTTTTCTTGCATTAAGTGTGCTTATCCTCTTTCAAGTATAGCTTTTTTATTAGTAGCATTATTATTATTATTAGATACAATGGAAAAAACCCAGTCCTTCCTGACGGGTGGGATTTTTTTCCCCTTTATTTGTTTTTCTAAAGAACAGATTTTGTTTTATTATCTCATTTTCTGATGATGAGGTAGGGCTTCTACCTCACACAGTGTTAAGAAGATCCAGACTAAGAATTCTGATTTGCACTACTGAATGTGATCTACTCCTTTCCTGGTTTTGCCTGTTTGGCTACAGGTAAAGGATAGTATTCCCAGAAAAGATTTCACAATAGCTACTTTTTAATTTTGGATTATTTAATAGATAAATTCTTCTTCTGATTTAGTCCAAGACCAAACAGGTCTACTTGCTGGCTTGAGAACAACTTTGATCTTAACTGATAATGAAGCAGCTTCTTTAACAACTCCTGAACTGCTGTAAGGGTTCAATAGAAATACAACGGCCTCCTTTGCTACATCAAGGAATTCCATTTATCTCAGCAGACCTTTTGGCAGTGACAAAACTAGACCTACTTTCTCCACAATATAGAAATAATAATTTTAATCTTTTTTTTCTTCTACATGACATTTTATAGCAACTGTTCTAAACCCCTTCCATATCATATTCATGCTTTTAATGATTCTCTTGGAAGAAATTCTCATAACAAGTTTTCTCTGTTGAATCATCCATTGAGAGTATGTACAAACACACCATGGCTCTGGAAAAATCTTTGAATCATGACTAGCCAAAGCTACTGAGACTCTGGAAAACTGTCACAATGTATTTCTCTTATTCCTTCACACTTCTCCAGTCATCTGCTATTAGCCAATGTCAGAGGCAGGAAACTAAGCAAGACACGCCTTTGGACTGACTTCATCCAGCTATTCTTACAACTTTCATTTACATGCAAGTTGGAATAAAAAAAAAAAAAAAGATTATTTGCTCATCCTCACATTGATAGCTTTAACTTTCTCAAGATAATTAATATGAGGGATTAATTTCAGAGAAAAGTCTCCTTACATTTTCCAAAAAACCAAAGCAAAAAAACATACAAAAGCAAAACCACAGACAACCAATTTGTTTTCTTGGTTTGTCACTTTCTTTCATGTTTTCAAACCCCTTCTATCAATTCTGAATGCTCACTGTCACAACATTTGATTTATATTAGATTCATTTCACTTGAATGAGCACTTGAACTGTTAGGAACAAACTGTAATCAAACCACCCTTTTACGGTTATTACCAGCCTTGGAAAGTAGGAGGTGGAAAAAGACCTAGAAATCTCTCCATTTCATCTCATTAACGTAAGACTGGCTGTGATCCAGTGGTCAAAACAAACATCCATGTAATGCCACATCCTTCCTCCAAAAGCTGCCAACAGAAAATGGTTGGGAAAAACATGACAACAGGGCAAGTGTTTTAATGATAGAGCCACAAAATACTCTGTCATCCTTCACCACTTCAGTGCTCAGGAACTTACTGAGCTAGCAGCCCTTAGCATTTAGAAGCCATTGATGACTTCTATTAATTCATCCAGTTATTTTTTTTAATTTACAAACTTTTATCTGCTGCAGTATCCTCTGACACGGAAATCAACAGCTTGCTGCTGTTAGCCTCAACCCTAGAGTCCTGTATCCCGCAATTTCAAACATGTTAAAGGCTCGAGTCTTTAAACTTAAATGTAACGCACATACATACTTTAAGAAAACGCACACAGCTACACTATGTTTTGTCAATATGCATGACATGTCACACCGCAAATTAACTCACCTGCACTTAAAATACTGTGTTCCTTCATAGGTACCATCATGCTTTCCTCTCTGAGGATCATCCCACTCCACACCAAGCCAAATTCCTGAAAAATATGGTAGGTAGATTTTCAAATTCATGGCATCAAAGCCATAGAAATCATGGTTGGAAAGAACCTCTGAAATTTATCTAGCCTAACCTTCTTTCTCAAAGTAGATTATCACCAGCACTAAAACAGGTCAGCCAGGTAAGTCTTTACCTAACCAGATCTTGAAAATCTCTAAAAAGAGAAAGATTCCAATTTGTCTGGGTAGCCTATTCTAGTATTGCAGTATGTCTGTAGAGAAAAAGATTTTCCTGCTGTCCAATTTGAACATCTCCAGCCAGAGTTTGTGGCCATTTTCCCTTATTATATAATCTAATACTAGTAAGAAGAATTTGGGTCTGTCACCTGTGTAACCATCTGTCAAACAGCTGCAGGCAGCTATTAGACACTGTTTAATCTTCTCTTTACCACAGTAACCAAAAGCCCAAAGCCCTCAACCTCTATTCACAATACACATATGTGGGTCTATGCCCTTGACTACCTTGGCAGCCCTCCACTGGATCCTCTCGAGTTTATCCACATCCCTCTTGATTTGGGATGGTCCCAAACCAGACACATTATTTCAAGTGTAACCTTATAAAGAACCCCTGTACCCAGAGGGGGATAACAGCTTCCTTTGATTTGTTTGCCATGTTCATTGTCCTAAGGTAACTCAGTACAACACATACCGTGCTTGTGACGAGAGCGCACTGTTGGCTCATATTCATGACAACATCCACCTTAACTCTCAAGTCCTTTACAACAGACCCTACGGGTTGCTAGTGCTTCCCGGTCTGTATGGATACACGGGTTTATCTCACACTACATGTGGAATTTTATCCTTCTAGAATCTTTAGTCCCATAAAGTCCATAAAGCTTGCTCTGGATTGCAGTTCTACCTTTTGTCTCACCAGCGAGTTGAGGGTGAATGCTGTTCATTATCTGAGACACTGATAATTATGTTAAACAGTACAGACCCCAGCATTTATTTCTGTAGTACTCGTGCATTACCAGATATCAAGTAATGGGTTACCACTTACTCACTTGACAGACCTGTGGACTTTCAATCCACTTAACAGTCCATTCACCTGGCTTGTATTTCTCCAGCTCTCAAATAAAATTCTTTACAGAGACACTGTTAAAAGACTCACTAAAGTCTAGGAATACTACACCCCCCATTCTCCCTTTGTCCACATTTCCAGTCATATCATCACACAAGGTAACCAGATTTGCCAAGCACAACTTGTTCTTTACAAGCATCAAGTATTCCAAACCACCATCTTGTCCTTCATAGGCTTGGAAATGGACTCCAAGGGAACATGCTATATGATCTTTCCAGGAACTGAAGTGAGGCTGATGAGTCTAGAGCTCCCTGGTATCCTTCTTGCCTCTTCTACAACCATATGCAAGGTTAGTCTCCTTCCAAGCATCAGCGATCTCCCCACCCTGTCACCACGATTTTTCAAAGGTGACATATAACGCTCTCACAATCGGACTGATCTTTCAGCAAGCTGGGCTGAGTCTTATTTGTCCCAATGAATCTGAATATGTTACCAAAGGAGCCCCTAGTCTGCTGACCTGCTGCTGCCTGTCTGTCCCTCTCCTTCCCAGACTATGCCAGCTCAAAGACATCAGGGACCAGGCCATTCGTGAAAACTCATGGAAAAAGGAAGGCACTAAGATCTTCCCGCTATAAGAAAAACTGTAACCAATTCCAACCAAAAGTACTCCTTATGCTCCTTCTGACAGCTCTACAAAACCCCAACAACTTACCTAGGTTAGAAGTTGCCATGTTTACGCAGGAACAATGAGGGAAAAAACCCAATTTCTACATCGCCACATTCTACTAGACATTATTTTTGTTTGTTTTAAATTAAGGAAGACACAATGAGAATTCTGAGACCGACTATTAGCTGTAAGCTCGCCGGGGGTGCCGCTTACCCGCCGTGGGAGGCACAGCGCCCAGGTAGCGCACGGTGCCGTACTCCGCGCCGCACAGCAGTCGGTGGCCCAGCGCCTCGGGGGGCACCCCGGCAGACATCCCGGGGCCGCCGGAGCCCCAGCGGCTCGCAGGCCTGCGGAGAGAGAGAGAGACACACCCTTCGCACACGCAAGTCACCGCTTCACAGCCTCCCCGCCCCGCGCCGCCTTTTCGCTCCCGAAGCTACGGCCTGCCCTTCCAGCGACACCGTCCGCGGCCCCCACACGCCCCCAGCGCTCCCCCACACCGCCGCCCTCTCTGCCGGGGGCGAAGCGGTGGCAGGCGGCGGGCAGCCGACGCACCGGGCGAGAGGAGGAGGAGCAGTCCCAGGGCGGTCCCACACACCGGCCGCTCTCCGCACCTGAGGACCAACCGCCACCACCAACGGCTCCCGGCACAGCTGGCCCCTCTTCCGTCCTACGCAGATTGGCAGCTGCCACCCCGCCCCGGCGGACCTATCGGTGCGCTCTCATTGGTTCTAAGGCCCCAGTCCCGCCCTAGCTTGGCCGCTATTGGCGTATCTTCGACTCCGCTCAAGTCGTCGCAGTCACGGACAACACCCGCGGGGCGTCGCCGCCGTAGCGCTTTCTGGGTAGTGCAGTTCGTCGAGGCGGCCGCGCCTTGCGGGCTCGCTGCCCCTGGACTACACCTCCCAGGATGCCGCGGGGAGAGAAGAGTACGCTCTGATTGGACGAGCGGGCCCGAAGGCTGGCCGGGGCGGGGCTGGGGGGCGCGGCTGCGTAGCGCGAGCTCCCCCGGCCGGGCGGGAGGGGCGACCCGGCGGGTACCGGTAACATCCGACGCGCTTAGCACTCTCTGAGAAAAACATCAATTAACAGGAAGAGCCATAACAATTAGAGAACGCAGCGTCCAATGTATGTAGATTAACAGCAAAACCACTCCAGTGTATTGTTTAAGTAACAATTTGTGGGGAGCAGAAATTCAGTAGGGGCTCTCCAGTTTGACAGAGACAGGTATGACAAGGGCCAGTAGCTTTCACACAGTTCTGCAGCTACAAAACCAAAGCATCCTAGTTGACATTTGCCATATTCGTTCATCAGTGATGCGCTGCGTATTTCAAAGTCTCATAAACACTTAATTCAAACAGTATCACTTGAATTTTAGGACCACAAAGACTAAAGCAATCACAACAGTAAGTAATCAAGAAGCTATTTGAGTGCTGTTCTGCTTCATACTCTGCTCAGATTCTGTGATATTGATTACAGACATCAAGTACAGGTAACACTAGTATATTCCAGTCAAAGTAATCTGGATAATATGTAAATTCTTTGGCATGCTGATGGCTTGCATCTTCCAGCAACAGGCTTTGAGGGTGTGCTTTACTGTCTGGCACAAAGCAGCTGCTCCCCAAAGGGGTATTCCAGTGAAGATCTCTGTGCCTTCACCTCAGAGTCTTCCTTTGCCAAAGGCAAGGTGTTTTCTTAGGCCAACTACTGTCTTTGGAGAAGAAAAAAAAAAAACCAAACCCAAACCTAGTCCTTCTTCCATATATCTGGCAGTGTTGCTGTCCCATCTGTGCTCCAGAGCCCATTCATCTCCCGCAGAGGGCACCCTCCAACCAGTCTGTTCCAGTTCTGAATGACGCTGAAGCTGCACAGACTGCGGTACAAGTATGAAAGCAGAAACAATGGCAGTAAACCCTCTTGCTCTCCTTTTCTGACTCACTGTTCCCCAGGTATATCCTGAGAGCTTTCTTTGACTGCAGGTCAGGAAAGATGCTGAAAACAAGTACTTTTCACTCTTTCTGACCCCAGCAGTAGCTGAGTTACCTATTAAACACATTCTCAGAACCTGTACATATGATTTTGAATTTATGTATCTAGTATTTCTAAAATAATGAGAATAGCATAGCTTACTGTTTATTCTTTCCATCTTTGTATTTTTCTTCTGTTTTAGCACTGTAATCAACAAGTAGCTACAATTCATCCAATGTACTTGACAAGAAACACAATGCCAATAAAACTAGACCAATTTAACATTTTCACCTCATTACCTAGAATTGCAACTTCTGCATTTTATAAGCATCTAAATGAAAAAGAATTTAACTTCAGAATTTATTGAACATTCATCTTAGTTAGTGTAAACGATATTAGTATAAGATAGGTTTATAGCACAGTTTTTGCATTTCTTGGAATAGCAATGACAATTCTTCCACATGGTTTTTACTTTGATCTATACACCCCATCCCACCCACAAAAAGAAGAGAGCATAAGTAGCAACAGGTTCCTTAGTAAAAGCCACAGAGAGACTGTAGGAGTTAGTTCCATACTTCATGTATGCAACTATCTGAAATTCTATTTTTAAAGAACTTTGTGTTTTTTTCTCGCAGTTTTTTTTCTCCTTTTAATTTTCTCACATGGCCTTGGTGTCAGCCTGATTTTAGTAACTAATAAAAGTTGTTATGCCTCCCTCATCTAACAGAAGTTCACTGCAGAGTAAGATATACTAGATTACAGCAAGAGAAGAGGCCAGTTTTCATGTGTATTTCATAACAGCATAACAAAAATGTATGCGTTTGACATTGTTTCTTTTTACAGATTTCAATAACTATTGAGTGATTAAGTAACTTATACCATATGGTCTAGAAATAACTGAAACATCATGAAGAGAGTTACAATAACCTACTGTGATCCAGAAAAGATGCAACTGCTTACTGACGGCATGTAAGTCATATACCGATAAAGTAGAGAGTGTTTTCATGGATTATTGTGGAGTTCAAAAGCAGAAAATTATCTAGGGTTTCTCTTCACATCAGAGTTAGTCTTCCACACAAATTCACGTCAGGCTTTGCAGTGCTCTCTCTGGAACTGTCAAGTTAGACCTTCTTGGGGTATCTCCCACAGTTCTCTGTGCTGTTGTAAACTGAGACGATCAGTAAATGCCTTTCAATGAGTTAAGTGAGAACTTACTTGTTCCACAGGGCACACAGGTGAGGAATGCTATCAGGATTCACATGGTTTAAGCTGCATCTTTACTATAAATTTTGCAGATAATATGCTTGAATGAAAGTCAATTAATGAATCATGGATTACTCCTAGCCACATCTCACAAAGGTTCCTTCTTAAGTTATTTAAAAAAAAAAAAAAGCTGCAGAAATGGTAAACCCTGGTGCTCAGCTATGATAAGTTATTCAGGAAGGATGTTAATGTGAGGTAACAACCAAGTCAAGTAGGCATATAGCAGATTATTTTTCTTTAACAATTTTTTTCTTGAAGCCAGGGAAACATACAGTAATGAAACAATGCACTCTTTGTTTTATCTTATCTACATCTAATCAAAACCTTAAGATGATATATGCATATAGTTATATATGCATATAGTTCTGATAGTTATTTATATAACTATCAGAATAAATTTTTAACTCAAATATCTCTTCCATTCTATTTGGAAAACAAGACGGAAACCTAAGGGAAACTAACCATGGTCTTTAGCCTTTCCTAATAAAGTGAGCAGATGCTGTAAAATGCAGCAGCCTCAGGAGCCTGAAATAGGTTTTCTTATTCTCAAAAACCCTTTCCCTGGCTCTGCTCTTGCCTCTGTGCACCTGCCAGATCTGACATTCATCAGGCTCTCACTGAGTGGAATAATTCATTAACCCAGACAAAAATTAACTCCTCTCCCCCAGGGCTAGTGAGTTAAGTAGTTTCACAGAAAGGCCTAATGAACATTACCAAGAAAGCAAGAGGCATTGAGAGCAAATGGGTAGGAGAGAGAAAGGAGCACCAGCTACATGGGACAAAAATAATTTATGGCAGTATAAAATGTTACATGCTTTAGGTTCTTGGGAAAAAAAGTTTCTGGCAGTTCAAGATTGCAGAAAATCTTGGATTATTTTTGTGAAGGCATACGATAAGCCAAGATTGAACATTTCAAAAGCAGACTCAGACTATTTTGTTTGTCCACGATGCTATTGTGTGTGCTATGGTATTAGTAGTAAAATAGAAATATAGCTGAGAAAATAAAAGAATTACAATGAGAGTACTGAGCAAATAATACAAAGAACATAGTAAATATCAAACCTGAAACATAAAATGATAAGATTAAGACAGAACAAAGAGGAGCAATAGACACCTATATAGCTCTTCCACATGAATAAAAGCGTAGCTTAATTTAGAGCTAAAGACACATTAAGAATTCAAACTAGTTTTGTGTATTTTTTCACCTTCTTACATAAATCCCATAGGTTTGTGTATTTAAGCATTTTAACAGTAACTGGGGAAAGAGATCATTAACATAGGAAATTTCCACAGCATATGGAAGCATTTAGATATTTCATAATTAGCAAAATCAAGCATGAAGTTGAAGGCATTCAACAGCTACTTTCCCACCACCACAAACATTTTTAGGCTGTTTGTATCACCCACTGGCTGATACATACAAAGTTGCTCTTAGTGATTACCTGAAGAGCCTGAGCTCAAAGGGAAAGGTGGAAGACAAGCAAGAGCCTCAGGAAGGTCCTGAAATGATGCAATTTTCACTGGAATTGATGGGGATGACATCAGCCTTTGAAGCAGCAGAGACAGATGTCCCATCCAATGGCTGTCACTCAAAGACAGGTGACACCATTACATCCAAGCAAGCACACAATCAGAAAACAGACTGAGTTACAGGGAAATGCTGGAGACTGCTAAGTATTTGCATTTCTCTTTATACACACTGCAAGAGTGAAACCCCCAAGAAATGCCCTGGTAACCTGATCAAAGTAGAAAATCTTGGCAACAGTAGGAAAGTAATAAGGGGAACAGTTCTGGCTCAAATGGACTGACACTGAAAGCCGCATCCCCTTTATTTCTCCACATGCATTTCCACTTGCAACTCATATTTCCATTCCACAGCAATGCATTTCTTGTGAAGACCAGGAAAAAAAACCCCTCTATTCCCTGCGTTGCGGGAGGCACAGCAACAGAGAGCAGCACTTACACAACTAAACTCATTCTGCAGCCACAGGAACTCTCATGCTGTTTTAAAGAAGTGATTTACCTAACGCAGCTGAACACCAGGAGCTTGTACCAGAGCCAATACTGGAGAATACTGATGAGGATGCAGTGTCTCATCTTATGGCACCAAATACAAAATCTACCTGGACTACGGTGCATCACTGCTGACTCTTGATACTTAAAGGTGCTCTACCTGCTTAACAGATGAAGGGGAAAGATCCTAGACTCTTCCAACTCCTGAACACATCACGAAAAACCCTCAGAGGCATCAGTTCATCCTAACAAAAGAGAAGAGTAATGATGCTTCTGGGCCTTTTAAGACATATATGCAGGGTATGCTTTGAATACTGGTATCAGAAGCCTGGAAGGTAGAAGAGTAAGACAGCACTGTATGGTTTCTTGTTGGTCCAGCTTTCTTTTCCCAGGATGCTTTTCCCTTTTTATCCATTTGTGGTTTAAAGGGCCTCCAGCTGGAAAACTTCTAATGTACTTTCTCTTAAGTTAATGAAGGCACATTCTACAAGATATGGTATTAGAATAAATACTGGGGTGAGTTGCCAGAATGAACCAAGGAAGTGATGACACAGCAGAAGCCTCAGATGGTGGAGAGCTTTTACACAAAAATAAGCAAAGCTACCTCATGAAGAAAGTTTGATTATGCAAAACTGTTTAAATCCAGCAACTGAGAAGACATGAAATGGCACTATGTGCACTTTGCATTGTATATATTAGTTACAATGTCCTAATAGGCACAAGGACATCTTTGAAAGTAAGACTAGGAGATTCTCCTGACAACAATACTTTTCCCAGTTTTTCAACATCAGCTGCAACAGTGCTTAGAAACTCCCAAGACATGGCACAAAATAAACATTGTACTTGGCTGCAGATAGTATTTTCTCATAAAACATTAAAAATTTGCAAGCTTACTACTAAGCACTGCAAGTTATAAAAGAAGGAATTACAATTCACTGTCATTAACATTAAAGACAAGACATCTTTCACCAACTTGAAGCTATTCAGTCCTGGTGACCAAGTCCATTCAGTTAAAAGACTATTACTCTGTGCCTAATCACAGAGCAGACGAAGATTCCTCCTCAGCATGCAGATAAAAGGAATAGGCTATCACCCATGATTACATAATGTCTTTGACTGAAAGAAGTCATGCTGAATTTTTTCATGCTTGATAACTTTCAGAGGAATCTTAAGGCTGCCCAGGGAAGACATTACAGCAATCTTTCCAGTTAGTTTTCTCTGTGGTTTGAGGCCATGACTCTCCCTGCTTTCAAGAGATAGTAAATTAACACCTGCATAAAACTATCCTTCAACTGTTGGAAGCCAAGTACCTCTGGCCATTTCCTTGGAGGGTAAGCTTCAGCTAACACCGCTGCCGAAAGCACCAGTCCTACCTTTGATCCAAACTATTATCTCCCTACCCCAAAGCAAAGCTTTATGTGGCTGTGAAGACTAATGGAACTGAACTCAATTAAAGCCATCCAAGACGAGATGACAGAAACACCTCTGCTTACATTTTGTTCACCTTTACATATAGATGAACAGAGGGTTTTGTCACCTCTCAGCCCTCCCCCCTCAATCAGTTCCAGTTTTATTTCAGTACATCCACATAATTTTAAAGCACTGTTTAAGTAATTAACCAAACTGAAGTGATATTACAGCTTGTAGAACAAGATGCTGTAATTTATCAAGAAAAAAATACAGAATTAGTATCTCTGGAGATATCTACTACATGCCTCCAGATAGCAATTCAGAGCAGGAATGCAGTATGAACTATGAGTCAGCTCCTGGAGAAGCCCCTCTCAATTATAAGCAGAGATTAAAGAGACCTGCACCAATTACGGTGTCCTGAAGTTATCTGGTGTGAATCACATTCAATTTCTGTGGCAACTTACTATGTTGCCTTTTACAGTTACATGTATGAGCCCTAATGCATAGATTTAAGTCCCTGACAGTTTCAAAATCTAAAACCAGGCAACTAAAATTATTCACTGAAGAGCTAGAATCAGCAGCAAGTTTATGCTTTGCTGATGTGATGGAATCTTTTCTCTAAGGTACTTAGAAATCTTTTTAAAGCTAAAATTACAGACTAAACATTAGTCTTATTTGCATATAAAATACTATCTTTCACAATTCACATTCCCTTGAAAGTATCCCCAGAAGCCGGATAAGGTATTCACTTTAGAACTTAGCACACTGACCCACTTGATCTTCATAAGTCTAAGTTAGAAATACTACACAATAGTTTTATCTGCATTGTGGTTGCAAGTATCTTCTTTTGTTATGTAACATTGTACATTTTGATTTACTACAGCATTGTTTGAAAATGCACAATACACTCAAACTGATTTAATGACACAGAATTTCAGCCAGAAACCTGCAAAAGCCTTGTTAAAGATGAGTTTTAACCTGAAATAATGCTGATGATTGTGTAAAGATGACCACATTCGATTCAAAACTTTTTTCAACTCTAACACATCTGCTTTAACAAAGCCATCTGTAAGCAGTTACAGTTAAGACCGTATAGATAATAGGGTATATATTTCAATACTCAATGACAAATTGTTTTTAACAGTAATTTCTGTAATATGGCTACAAGAAAAAGAGTTCGAAGTGAGATTGATTACCACACCTTTCAGATAGTCTATTTTCCCATTTTAAAGTTTTAATCCACCCCCAAGAGTTACATTTTTAATTTTCAGTTTCTTTGAACATTTTGCTAAGCTGTCCAACTAGTGCTACAAGCTCAGGGTTTCCCCCAAGTGATTCAATTTGTTTATAGGCTTCAGATTCAAGCTCTTTCAATGTATTCCGAGTGTACTCAAAGGAGCCCACATTTTCAAGGTAATGTACACAGTATTTTTTTATATCTATGTTCTCTGTCCTTTGACGTAAAATGTTTTGCACCTGAGTACTTTCAGGTCTTGACCAAATTGCATGAATGGTTGGGAATGAGAACTTGCCCTCAGTTAAGTCTTCACAAAAACTCTTGTTTTCACTATATTCTTTGGAGTGCAAGTTGGCATAGTCATCTCTTATTTGGAAGAAGAGGCCAAGTGTGTTAAGGAGTGGCTTTAAGTCTTTTTTATAGTTTGAGAACAGCTGCATGAGGCCTACAGCTAATCCAAAGAGACCACCTGTCTTTTGCAGTACCATAGCTTTATATTCAGCTTCTGTAGGACAAGTGTAAGTATCCCTCCAGTAAATATCCAAGCCTTGACCTTTATGAAGTTCCAGAAGTTGACGGGTAAAAACTTTAACAGCATCTGGGTGATCAAGGGTTAAAACCTTCTCTAAACCAAGGAAATACACATAATTAGCACAGTTGATTACAGACGGAATTCCATAGATACTGTGTGCCACTGGAAAGCCCCGTCGTAGCTTTGAGTTATCTTCAATATCATCCACAAGCAGGCTTGCATTGTGCAACATCTCTGTCACTTCAATGATAACCTATTACAAGAAGAGAAAATTATTAAGTCTCCCACTGTAATTTAACCTCCAAGTTTTGCAAGACTATTTAAAATAGATAAGGTTTTACAGAATTCTATTTTCTATCACTAAGGTTCCCCTTTAGACCACTTGCTTTTACTATTAATACAGATTTATGATTCTCTTCATCAGCCAATTTGCTGTAAATCCTGGATTGTGTGGTCTGCCTTTTGTGTAACATTTTCAGATTCAAAGTGAACTTACTCCCTGAAGTGTTTCCACTTGCATGCTCCTCTTCACTGTTGCTACAGTTCTAGAATATGCCATTGTCTAGGAGTCATGCAGTAACTGTTATTAGAAACATGACTAGAAGAAAAGAAAAGCAACACAATGTTGTGACAAGTTTAGATTCACTAACCTGAGATCTCCCAAAGTCGGTTCTTGAGAGTGTCAAGTATCATCCATTATGACGTTTGTCTTGTAAACCTTGTTTTGATAAGTGGAGAGAGTTCACCTTTCTTTCCCCCCACCTTGCACAGTTATCTTCAGTACTGAGTTCTTAAAGGACAGACTATTCTCTTTGAAACTTCATTTGGAAAATTCTTGGCAGAAAGGCAACAGCTACAACTTATTTTGGGAAGCTTCCTACACACGTACTACTTATTACTTGGTAGACCAATATCATACATCACCTGAGGTATGCAATAACTGTTCAGAACATCAAGCTTGTAGCTGACTACATTTGCCTAAAAGCGAACCTTAACAATTCCAAAGCAGGACAGTTCAACAAGAAATGAAGTGTTTTCACACTACATACTGGCTTTATTGCACAGCTGCTATACAAGAACAGGCATATTCAGCACCTGCTTAAGTGGAAATAAATTTAAGTATGTAAAACTGCACACTGTATGAACTCACTGCAAAACACATCTGATTAAGATACGATTTTAAAGCTAATGAACCAATTACACTTGCTAGCTACAAACATTACACTCAGTCAACATTCATCAAAATAACTGCTTCTAAAAAAAATACTAAGGCCACTGTTAAATAGTGGCAAGTACCTAGTACAGTCCTATTTGGTGCAAGCTATAGGAAAGAGAGGGACTTTGCTGCAAACATTTTCTTGAGCAGCAAGCCACCTAGTGTCCAGTGACCACTATCCCAAGGATTAAAACCCAAAACCCAGCAGTCTAATTGTTTGTCCAAGACAAGACTGCAAGAACAACCTATTTGAGGACCACTAATGATTCATCTACCAGTTAGAAGTGAGCCCTACTTTGACCTGGGAAGATATGTTGTTGCCCATTAACTTTAAATCAGAAGATAGAGTACTTACTGAAAGTAACTTTGCATACGTATTTGTCTGAATAGTCTTTTAAGTCCATTATGTCATTCTCAGTTTCAGTACTATCAGGAAAGTTCCCCTAGATAATGTGAATTCCTTGGATAAGCCTATACTAGCATTTCTCTTGCTAATCTATTTCATAATCACTGTGAGTTTCATGAACTTCTGTAGTTTCTAGACATCCAAGGTTTCAATGAAATAATAATTTATAACTCTGTGTGTTTGAACCAAGTTATTTTATGAACTTTAGAGACAGTGTTAAAAATGCTTCAAAGTTGAAAATGAGGAAAAAAAATATTCAGACAGCAGAAAAAGCTTATTTTATAGGACATCAGGAAATAGTCTGACGAAATGAAAAGACTGCTCTTTATAACAAAAGCTGAAGAACCAGTACAGAGCGTTACGGTTTCTTAAAACCTAAGCCTATCTAATCGGTGGCTGCTGCACTATCACTCAAACACACAGTGCGTGATGGGAGATGGACTCCTACTGTCACCATTGCTCAGCAAAAGGGCAAGAGGCAACAGTCAGACTGTAGAATAAGAAATACCAATTAGAAAATATGGAAGAGTTTGGGCACAGAATGACAGGCCCAGAGAGGCTGACAGTCTACAACCTCAGATGTTCAAAACTCAGCAAGGCCCCCAGAAACCTTAAGTAACTACAGAGCAAGTCCTGCTTCTCATTAGGGAGTAAGGACCATAGACTGTATGATAAGATTACCATAGTTTTAGGTCCAGAACATGAAGTGGTTTATAAAGCTCATTTAAATGCTGTCTTTGACATTCTTGTATCAAAATAAGATTTTTTTTTTCAACCATAATTGACAAAGTTATGTAGTTTACAAGGTAAGTCTCTAGCTTTTTTCATAAGTCACTGAAAACACAGTGTTAATAACTGAGTTACCTTAAGTGTGTAACAATGGTATCTGCTTAGCTACAACTTAAAAGGTTGAGTACACTTGGAAAGAAGTAACTACTCTACGTAAAACAAGTCACAGGAGCAATTTCTTAAGTGTAACAACACACTCAAAGCTTTGCACTAAAATTGTTTTCCTGAATGTTTATTTTAATATATTCAGAAACTAGTGCATTTAAGATTTCTGAGCATTTATACTATGTAAAAGTCATCTGTTATGAGTAGGCTTGGAAGAAAGGTTAACAGTCCTCTAAAAATAATTAGCCAGTACCTGTATTTTGTCTTCTGGAACATTCAGCCAGTGATTAAAGGCCTGTGACAGTTTGGTTCTCACTTGCTTACCTACAATAAAAATATTATAGGCATTTATTAAAAAAAACCCCAAACCATAGAGTTCATTATTAGGGACAACAGTTTCTCTTAACAACTACAGCTGGTTTGAGACCCATAAGCTAAACGAAAATCTGAACAGAACATTCTGAACAGAACTTTCCAAGAATTCAGACATCTATCTTACACCTGCTAAGTATACTTGTAAGAGGATTTGTTCTGCTTTGGCTAAATCTAGTTTGGTGGAGCCAAGCAGTCACCCCATTTCACAGGAATGAAAGGTAAGATCAAAATCCAAGTTTAGTACTAAAATAAACTTTACTATTCAATCCAGATACACTTTACATGACAAAGATAAAGAAGTTAACCTATGTGCCTATAAATTATTGATGCCAGGTTCCTTTAATAAATTGCCAGGAGTCATGTACAAATATTTACTCAGTGTCTACTGATGAACAACATGAAATAAAGTCATCTCGTATCCACACTGAGACAATGGTGCTCTCAACTTTGACAAGCTCAGCTATGTCTAAGATCTTCAAATAACTGCAAGACAGGTTTAGACAAATGACTCTGCATACATAGCTCACATCAACAAGGTCTTTGGAAAACGTTTTAAATAAACTTCAAAGTAGTGCAACCTAGACTTTGGGTTCCATATTACTCATCTCGAGATCTACTGAGAGACATAACTTAATGGTTCTGCAAAATTAGTCCTCAGGTTGATGATGTCATCTTGCCCATAGCACTGAAGAAATTTCAACATTAGAATCTCTCCCTAAGGCTTCTTTATTGCTGTGTGACCAGCACATACAGAACAGCATAATAAAAATGGGTAGATTCACTTGCAGTGATATACCCTGGAGAAACTGGACTGAGGTTTTTTCCTTTTCTAATTAAGTCACCACCAGGTAAGCAATAGCTTTGTGGCTTGGGTTCTGTAGCAAAGATGATAGCCTTCATCCCTGGCTCAATAGGCTTCCATTTTTGTCTCAGTTCCCAAAGATTTCCACCACTTCTCATCACCACTATCTTTTGGTTTTCATTAGGAGACTAATGAAAAAGCACTTCTTCCCCCAAACAGCTTTGTCCTCTGGCTCTGTCCTATGTGAAAGGGCACTCCTACCTGGACATACACTGTCATTGGCATGTGGTCTCCATTTTTGTTTTCTGTGCTCAGTTTTAAACACTAATAGCTTTCTGCAGGAGGAAGGCATTGTTTTGTCTCTCAAAGCGGAACAGATATTTTAAGCTCTCCATGTCAGGCCCGCTTTCTATCAGGAAACCTCCTAAGTGGTTCTAATTTATTTGGTTTTTTTTTTTTTTAAGTCTGTTTAAGTTAATGAATTTCTAAGTCAGCAAATTATTATTTTAACACAGGTAACCAGAGCTCAAATTTAAATACAAAATTGGAGTAGTACCCAAGAGTTTAAAAACCTCTCATGTTAACTAAGCACCACCATTAATTCAAGTTAGACTTGCTTCTGACATCTCCTGGAGATAGCAAGGATCTGAAACACTTCAAACACTCAGACTTCCCCTCTTTTCCCCCATGTGGTTAGATCAGATTTTGGCCAGATTGGTTCCCTGATCTGACTCACTACACACTTGTGACCCCCAATACTTTGCAAGAGAAGGTCAAGAGGCCCTGCATCGGAGGTTCAGTATTTTATTTTAAAATAATTGCATGAGTTAACCAAGGAGAAAAAACTGCTCAAAAACACTGACAGTAACCGTTACAAACATACAGTTTGGCAAAACTGTACGGGTTGTCAGTTAGATAATAACAAATACTTCAGTACATCCATAAAGCAAGCTACTCAGAGATCAGATCACATTAAGGAAGTATACCTTATCTACAGCTATTTATTCAGTTCTAAATTACATTGATACAGACAACACCTTTTTTTTTTTTTCACACTAGGCAGCTAATTCTGTTTTTCCAAATATTTCCTAGAAAGTGTTGTTATGGAATGCTGGATGTTCAGCAACAAGTGTTATTTCATCATGAGGAACAACTACTAGCATACACTTTAAATGGATTATTAACATGCACAATGGATATAGCCACTTCAGTTCCTCACTACAGACAGCATTTGAATTGTTAGACTTGTCTACCTTGACTAGCAAGGCTGCCTAGACATTGACTATTCAAGGAAAAAACACCACCTGTATAGTGTAGCATTTATCTTTTGCTTATGTGAGCCCCTTTAACAGAAGATTATTGTTACACAAATGCAATTTTATCTTGTTCTGAAGTCAATGCTACCTGGTCTATGTGATATTACAGCAATTTTCTGTATGCATATTTTATGCCTACAGCCATGCTACGATGACAAAAAAACCAAATCCCTCTAATAATGGTCTCACAAGCCTAGATGTAGAAGTCTCCATTCCTTGCCACACCTCTCCTCTAACTAGAGAAGACAACAATCCAGGGACGCTAGGACAAAACTAAAAAGAGTAAAACTTAACACTGGCAGAATTTTCCAGTTTCTTCACTGTCACATGTCAGTGCTCTGTTAATTATTCTAAGCAGGCTATTGTAAAACCGAAGAAAATAACTTCCAAACTTAGAAGCTGTACCTACTGTATAGAGCTATAATAATTTACAATACTGCACCAAGCTTTTATCGAAGTTATGCTAAATGCATTCAGTTTACTCTGCTTAAGATCCCAATATTACCTAAATCAAACAGCAACCATGGAAAGCTGTTCTCCTTACTAATGCTGGATAGAAAAGGTGAGAAAAAAAATAATTCAGAACACAACAGATTCACTCTGATGAAATTCCTTCTACAGGTGAGAAGGTAAAACCTTCATCCTTGAAACAGAGATCAAGTTAGATTAAAGATGCTATACTGAGGACAATCCCTCCCCTCCTCTTCAGATGAAATGCTCCTCTAAAAAAAGAAAAAATTAGCCTTACTCTTTATATACACAACTGTTGTGACAAGGTACAGATCCAAAAGCTACACACCTCCAGCTCTGGACAGGCTCCTGATTAGTATTTCTTCACTCTTGCTGCATTAAAGTGACTACAAACTATGCCCTTAGGGCAGCATCCCACTTACATTGACAGTATATAAAAGGGCTAGAACAACATGGGAAAGAGCAGGGGGACTATTAACCTAGCCCTCATTACAGCCTCACTGCGCTAATCAATTCATGCCCCAGCAGAAAACTGTCTGCTTTTTGCTAGGTTAGCTTTCTGCCAGCTTTATGTACCGAGTCAGCTCATGAAGTGGGTCTGCTAGAGTTAGTACAGGGTAAGCAGCAGATGCTGAGAGTCAGGGGAGGGGGGCACTGCCCTTCTGGAGGAAGCAAGCTGCTATATTACCTCAGCTATATTGTACACTTTCATGTTTAGCTCTGACCTCTGGTGGATTAGTGTTAAATGCATAAATTCCCCAAGCAGACCTCCCCACACAGCTACAGCCAGCATAAGCAGTGGGAAAACAAGCAAAGAAAACAGGTCTACACACTTTTAAACCTGGGCAGCCACTTGTGACAGATTAAGGCCACTGTAGAATTGTCTAGCATAACTCCTCTGTTCAAAATAGGGTTAACTATTGGGATAGGGTTGTGATCCTAAATTTTGCCTTGTCCCTTCTTCTCAGGATCCTGAATACCAGCATCTCATGGCCACTGCAGCCAAGCTTGGCCACAGTCTTCACATCCTAACCAATTCTTCCTTGTTTCTAACTGTGATGTCCAGCATAGCACCTTCCTTCATCAGCTCCTTGATCATCTGTCTTAGCAAGGAGCCATTCAATGCACCCCAGAAAACTCTTGGATAGCCTGTGACCCGCTTCTTCTAGCAGATACTGAGGTAGCTGAACTCTCTTGTGAGGGTCAGGGCCTATAAATGAGTCATCTTCCAGTTGCCTGAAGGACTCTTTGTCCTGCTGAGGTGGTCTGTAGCAAACACCCACTATAGTGTCACCCCTATTGATCTGCCCTCTAACCCATGAACTCTCAACAGGCTTATCATCAGACTGAAGGTAGAGCCCCCTGCAGTTCAGCTGCTCTTTCACACAAAAGGCAACTCGCACTCCTTGCTATCCCAAACTGCCTCCCTAGGCAGTCCACATCCATCCATTGCAGCACTCCAGTTATGCGAGCTATCCTACACCAGACACCTCAAAACTGCAGAACTCTATATGCAACGACATGCAGAACTCTAACTCCTCCTGCTTACTCACCATGCTGTATGCATTTGTGTACAGGCACTTCGGAGACAAATCCAGTCCTCTGAATTCCCCAGAAAGAATAAGAGCTTCACCCATCATGTTGTCCTGTTCATACTTTCTTGTGCAAATGCATACACTTGGGATGGGCTGCTGTCAGCTCCGCTCTGTTGATTACAAGGTGTCTCTTGGCCACACCAGCCTACACCCTTTGTTGCCAAGTTCATCATTTCCTTACTCAATTGTGGGGCAGTCATTCCCCTCCATTGCAATTGCTAGTTTAAGTCCCTCCTCACCAGGTTGCTCAGCCTGTTGGCAGAGACACTTTTGCCCTGACCTGGGTAGATGGATGCTATCTCCTCCTGGTAGTCCTTGATCTACGAAGGGAGTTCCATGGTCATAAACCCCAAATCTCTGCTGTCAATATCAGCTGTGCAACTAACCAGTTGTCAACAGGCAGGATCTGTCTGTTCCTTTTGATGGGGAGAGGGAGAGGGTTTAGGATCATGGAGAAAAGCCCCCTGACTTCCTGTGCTCTTGGTCTCCATTCAAAAGCCCCACAGTCATGCTTGATAAGTTCCAGGCATCCCTTTGCTCTGTCTATTAGTGCTCAAGTGGAAGAGCTGCAGGGCTAAGTGGTCTGAGGGTGAAACACACCTTGGCAGTCCCTTCACAACATCCCTGATCAGAGCTACCCAGAAGCAGCAAAACCTCCCAAGACAGCAGCTCAGATGGAGGTCCCTGTCCCCTGCAGAAGTCAGTCTCCCCACTACTGTCACTTGCTGCTGGTCTGATGCTTTGCCAAACTAGAAGCTCTGTGTATAACAATGGCACAGGAATCTTTCTCCTGTTGCCAGAAACCATCAACTCCCAGCCTTCACTATTGTGAGAGCACCCATTTCCCAATCTGATACATACAGACTGTTCAGGCCCCTCCTTCAATATACTTGAGGGTTTCAGGCTCTGAACCTGCAGAGTCTTCCTCTTTATGTTATTTCTGATGCTGTGAAGCTTGCAGACCCCCTTCTGCCACTCCTTTGCTTGGTGACACGCATTTGGTACCACTGCACACCTTTTAGGGGCAGGGACATCACTTTCTTCTGGCCCAGTGGGGACCCAGGCATCCCTGCAGCTCAGAGCCTAGAGAGCTGCAGCCTTCCTCAGGAACTTTGCCCAAGTTGAGGCCTCTGATGTGCCAGGTGTAGTTGTGCCAGTGGTAGGGATCATGCCCTGTGATGCTTAATTCCTTCACCAAGCTGGTCAAACTGAACAGCCCAACAGAAAAAGCTGAAAAACAAAATCCGCTCTCGATTGTTTAGCTTGCTAGACAAGCCCAGGAAAAGACTGCAGCCAAGACCAGCGCAATGCACATGAAAGGAAAGATGAACAGTCATGAATTGGATCAGAATCTACCCCTTTCAATAGCAAGCTGTTGACCACATCAGTTTTACTGCAACTAAAACTCCGTGTACTCTTTAGGGCTCCAAAACCAGCTACTGCTGCTAACTCAGCCACTTTGAAATAAAAATTCATCATTTGTGTGAAACAGGTCATTTTTGAGATAAACTACACTGGAATTTGTGAAAGTTAATCCTGTTTATTGCACTTTGTTCATGAAGCTAAAGGACAGAATACTAGATTAAGCAGAACACTGCTAAAGACAAGAATGGCAGTGTAATACTACAATGAGATTTTACAAGTTGCTGTTTCAGAATATATGTTCTCCCAAGCACTAAATTCTGCTAGTGACAGAATAACAATTAATTACCACACTAGCCATTAAAAATAACAACATAGTAAAAAACTTTAAGCCTAGCTGTTTCTCTGTCCTAGTGCTGTTCAAGTCCAAGAACTAGACAAGCATATTTTAAGTATCACCCCCAAACTGTCACTATTAAAGTCCTATTTCATTAATGGAAAGCAGATTAATCAACTTCTTGTATTGAGGAATTAATCCTCAGCAGTTACAAAAATTTGTGTTCTTACTGTACAAACAACATTAGCAGACACTTTTTTTGCCCCCAAACAACCCTAATACTGTTACACAATCCCCTTTTATGTAAACAAAGTTTGGTATGTACCTAAATTCTTTCAAGTTCTCATAGGTTACTAAACCATTTGGAGACTTTTTTTTAACTAGTCTTAAAAGATAAGCAACTGGACTATTGTAGAGCCATAAATGTACATATTTGACAGACAGCCAAGCTTTCTGCAAAAGCCCGTCAGAGCTCAAGCTGATCCAACACAGGAACAACTAGTTCCTTGTCCTCAGCCTTGTGCCAAGCTCACTAACAAGACAAGATTAATCAGGCAAGTTTTTAAGAGGTGAGGTGATTGATACTACCTAATCATTTGGTTAGCAAGCTGAGAACCAGCACAAGTTATGAAGCAAGAAAATATTGCCAGAAGCCTAAAGAAGATGGAATGGAACTGCCTCTCAGCAAGAGCTTTTTAGATTAGCTCGGGCACCTCATTTGGGCTCCACCCTAATTATGAAAAGCTCCCATGCACCCAGTTTTTCCCCACTCACCAAGCATTGGGGCTCATACTGATTCCAAGGTTCACACAAGTAACTGACTCCTACTGATCTGTACTTGGCACAGCTGACTTTGGGGAAAGCCACAGCATTTCAAAGACAGTAAACATCCAGCTATATGATTGTGAACTGTCACTGCTTCACCTGTCACTTTTACCTAGCCAGTTCACAAGAAGTCTTCCCTGGATATTTGTGGAGATCTATAGTGAAATTCATTATATATACAGGTATAATGAATTTGGACCCACCCTGCTGACACACAGGTCTTGTTGCAGATGTGCAAATGCCCCATAGTACTGTTCATTAGGTGTACAAGCAAAAGCCACAGCAATCTGACTGCTTAGTCAAAGAGGCTTCTGCGAGGCATATCCATACAGTAGCTCTCTATCAAACTGCTTCCTGAATTCTGCTAAAACAAGCACTGTTCAAGACTGAAAACTTCATCTGAATGTGTTGCTAGTGACCTGATACCACACAAGGAGTGGTTGATCCTCTGGCAAGTGAAGCAATCCAGGGACAGCTGAAATTGGCCATTAGAACACCTGGTTCTTCACACACTAGGGAGAAGATACTATACAAAAGAAACAGGCTATTTAAAAAAAAAAACAAACAACAAACAACAACCTTCTGAGCCCAGTACAGCAAGCTGATAAAGAAAAAAACATTGTCAGTCCCAAGTTTAAAGATGGGATCAAGTCAGAGCAGAATTATTTACATTACTACTTATTCATATTTATGTAAAAGTCATTAGTTAATGTAACTTTCTATAAAAAGATAATGAGGCAAGAAAGGAGCATAGATTTTAAGTGCATTGGCTCTGGCTGTTTCATTCATATGTTAATACACGTGATGCAGCGGTGCCAGATGTGGGGAGGGTAGAGAGGAGGAAGGCAAGGGAAAGAAATAAATAATAATTACAAAGCCCCACAAAGGCTTTGTTAGCAAGTACTTGCCTTTATCAGTTTTAAAATGTAGCAAGTCAGCTACTCTGAGTGGAGAGCAGAGCAACTGAAATACTACTTACACTGCAACAGACAGACAGTTTTTTGTACCAATCTCACCAAAAAGAGTGATTCTACAAGAGGAAGAACAAATATTGAAAAATGTTACTTTTAATTACTCTTAAATCCACAAACCAAGAATGGATAAACTTATTTTCTTATACTTCCTGAGACAAAAGTTGCTATAAAAACAATTTTGATATTTAAAGCCACCACATTACAAAGAAACTTGCCTGGTAGTTGAAGTAAATACTGGTATGGCTCCAGGATTCTTTTAGATGTTTCATCCATCCCATCCATTTCTTTATTTCATAAGAGGTAGTTCACTGTTAAAGAAAGTGTTATTAATACTATTTAGATCAAAAAATAGGGAAGAACAGATGCATACAATTAATAAAAAGTCAGCTGACTTCAAGGTTAAGTGCAAATATTCCTATTTTGAACATGACACCTTCAGTTAATACTACCCTCACTACATAAAAAATTTCCAGATGACATTTAGAAAAGAAACAAGGATATGTATTAAATAGTTTTCTTTAGTTATTCATGAACACTTTAAACTAACTCATAGCCTTTGTTTCCTCTGATTTCATATGTATTAGAAAACTTTGCTAATGTTTTAAATACTTCTCTATGATCTTTCACAACAATGAAGCTCCACTGTAAGTTTTAGAGAAGACACTCAAGCCTATATAAAACCTCACCTCATACAACTAATCTGATTAGACCTCCCTAAAAGCTTTCCCCCTACAAAAGCAGAATTGCTTAAGAGCAGAAAAAATACACCTTCACCAAGGCAACCGAAACAAGCTGAACACTAGCTTCAGCCTTCTGATGGAATTCTTCACTCCTGTTTCAGAAGGCAGAACAGGAATATATCATTTTCTCACCTCTGTTTAAGCGCACAGACGTCTTTCCACACTTTCCCATATACTATACACATCACAGACTCTTACGATAAATCTTTTAGGATCCATTCCCTGCATAGCTCAACAATTTTCTGTTGATTACATTTCAGTTCACGTACCTTTGGTCATCTATATCTGCATTTTTTTCAGACTGTTTTCTATAACGGATTTTCTGTCCTTTCACCTCTAGCCTTCCTTGCTGCACTGCAGATGCTGCAGCTCAAAACAATTCTTCTAATGTCATTTTAAGACAGGAACTGCAGCAGTAGCATAAAGTCTTATGCTACTTCAGCATCAATTTCTCAGCTACTTAGCTAGCATCCTCAAAAGGGTGTACTTTTTGCCCCTGGAGCAACTGAGTAGTGTGCGTTACCTGTAAAAAATGACTATTTTAAAAGTGATATTTTCAAGTATGCACTGATGCATTTTTAATATGGGTACATTAAGGGGAGTGGTTAACATGAATGGAATAAACTATGTTCCACACTTGCTCAAAATAACCTAGCAATACCTTCCCAACAAAAACTCAAAAGATCAGCATTAAGATCACTACTTCCTCTTAAGCTGCCTGGGCAAACTGGTATTCCTCAATCACCACCCTTCCCTTTCAGTACAGCTCCATCAGTTCCTGTTTACTACACTCCCATAAGTATTTGGAGCAGTCCAAACTTGGGAACTGATCTGCATCACCAGCTCTTTTCCAAGCTTAGGCTTGGATCAATTCCTTTATTTGCTTCACTGCATATGTTAATCAAACGTATCAGCGCTTCAGGGGCAAGAAAGGCTATTCAACCAAACGTAGTTGCCAATGAAATGCTCTTAAGGCTTCACCTTTTGGGAAGCTTTGCATAGTTTCTTAGCAGTGATGTCACAATAAGCAGTACAGCCTTTCCATCCTATCCCATGGTGTGCCAGCACAACCAGCGGTCAGGCCACACAGTAATATAAATCAGATTTGACACCCTTAGCTCCCTATTTTGTTTTCAGCTTGTTGGTATGACTGAAGGGACAGGAACTGCTTTTAAGCCAGCACTGCCACTGAGAGTCAGCTGTCAAACTGTACCCTTTCATATCAAGGATAAGTCTCAAAGGACTTCAGTGAGGAAGTGAAATCAAAAACTATCACAGTCCATTCACAGATGTTTTGAGCAGAAAGAAGCTGATAGAGATGGATATAAGGAGACACTATCAACTTAACAACTCTCCTGTGACTATTATTTGTCAAAAAGCCACACAGAGTTTAGAATTGAGAGTGCCTAGCTATCCAGCAGAGCTGGGAAAAGGTAGGGTTGAAATTGCTTCTCTGTAGAAGTTTCTGCTTAAAAGTAAATCTTAAAGTTCTTCCTCCTCCCTCAGGGAATTAAGAAATTTCTTGCCTGTCTGTAGGACACTAAGCCAATATTCAAAGTCCTCCACTAACATGAAATTTGTTAGTATTATGCAACAAACTAAATCTTTGCATCTCTTGGCACAAAACTAATAGGAGTTCACCTGAAATCCTGCTTATCAGCACAAAATTATTTGGGCACTTCTCCCACAAGTGCCATGAGTTTAAGTTTTTTAAAATAGAAGAGAGGCAAAAAAGCTTCAAGAGACAAAGAATGGATTATAACTTCACTTAAGTCACTATAGTTAAACTTCTCTAGAGTGCTATGCTACCTTTAAATGAAGCAATAGGTAATCCCTGCTAAGGAAAAGAGAAACAGTTTGACTATTCATCAGACAGCTACATATAGACAGCTACATATCCAATACACCCACTGAAACAAGAATAGTGAGCAGAACATCCCCCAAACTTATACAAAGAAAGGGACACTTGATAAAGAAATATGTAAACGAAGATGCTTAGAAAGGCCTGGAAGCAAGAATACCATGATATGAGACTTGCAATATTATTGCTGTTTGCACAAAGTTATCATATTTGACACAATGGGGAAATGCTTGATATTAAGGGTTTCCTCCCTAGGCAACTGACCAATTTACTACGGAAATTATGCTGCTGCAGAAAGCCTTCTCAAGGAAGACATTTAGAGACAAGATCTCAGTCAGCACCTCCTGGTAAAAAGTAAAATTGCCAGGAGCTAATAAACAAACATGAATACAAAGCCTTTTGTTAGTGAAAGTGCAAGAACTGACTGCATGCACGCTTATTCAAAAAATTAAAGCAGTTATGGACATTTTGCCTTTTAAACCAGTACAGAGATTTCAATTCATGCATTACTAAATAGATTTTTTCCAGTTATTTCTCAGTATCCCTACATAAGCATCTAGAGTAGGTGTTATCGGCACAGGCCATGCAATCACAACAGAGTCCTCACAGAACTGTCTCTTGGATTGCAACAAACCTTCTCTCTAATGATCTCCTTGAAAACACATAAGACACTAAAATAAGATGGCGACATGGGCTTCCTTACGCTAGAACTACTGTTAAACTATACCTGAAACTATCATCTGTGTCTAGGAGCTTTCTAGAGAAGATGCGAGCAGTATTAATTCTAGGTTACATGTCAAGAAAAAAATCTTTACTCTGAAACTTTATAAAGCAGCTTCTTACCACATTCCTTCCATCCCATTCTACAGAATATTCTCCTCCTCCTCCAAATTAGGGGAATATGATCACTGAAATAAATCCATGCTAAATATACAGACAGTGTCTTAAAAAGCATCATCACCTCACTGTCTCCAATCACAGGACAGCTACACAGAAAATAAGAAGAGAAGCACCAAAGAGCAGAGCGCCATAGTGCAAAAAGAACCATGGAGAAAATTCTTAGACCTGCTCCATCACAGAACTTAGTGCACCGAGACACTGGTTTCATTGTAACTAGTGGGGAAAAAAAAAAAAAGTCCCAAATAGGGGGATGTAACAGAGAGGAGGCCTGGTTCAAAAGGAATACACAAAACCTGCTGTGAATGTATATCGTTTCAAAGAGGCTATCAAGGCTCTTAACCCAAATGTAATTCAGACGAGATGCTTGTCACCCTAGCCCACATTCTCATTCTAATCAGTAAGAGCCCTCTTTACAGCCCCTCCTGGGCTGACACCGGACAAATCCTCGCATTCACCTGAGGGGCGGCAGCTCCCCACGGGTGGGAGGGCAGTCACGCACCGTCCCTGAGGCGGCAGCTGAGCGCACAACCGGCCTTCCACAGCCGCAACTTCAACGCTACCGCCAGAGCAGCAAGAACTGTGCTTCGATTTTCATAGGATTTCCAGATATGATCGAGCACCGGCGCCACAGAAGCCAAACGACACCTCCCGGGCTGTCGAAGTCGCCGCTGGATGCTGTGACAGCGCCCAGACGGGAAGGTCTCTCAGCTGCCGGCTGACCGGAGGGCACACAACCAGCGGGCAGAAACCGCGGCGACCTCCGAAGCGCTTCTCGGGCTAAAAGTCACATTTCACGGAGAACGTGAAGCCGTTGCCCCCTGCTCGTAGACGGCTAACCGCCGCCCAGAGCATCACCAAGGAAACAGGGCTGGTTTTTCGGAGTTCAGAGTAAGAGATGCGAAGGCGGCTGCCACAACGCGCAGGCAAAGCGGCCCAGCCCCGCCAGCGCCATTTTAGATAAAGCGAAACCGAGCGCCGAGGACTCCTCGCTCCCCCTAAG